ATCATATGCCAATTAAGTAATTTCTAGAAACTTCATTTTAAGGGGAATGCCTACGGTGAAAATTACTGGAAATGCAATTCTTAGTATTGTAGCAGTGAGAGGTGAACTCTTCTTTTCATTCTCTAAATTTACAACCTATACCTGGTTTTAACCTTCTCATTCAACCATTTGGATAACTATGAAATCTGTATTTTTTTTATTAACATTTTCTTTTATTGGGGAACAGTGTGTTTTTCCAGGAAAACAGTTGTTTCAATCTAGTTGTGGAGGGCGCATCTCAGTGGCCCATGTGGGGATCGAACTGGCAACCTTGGGTGTTATGAGCACTGCTGTCTAACCAACTGAGCTAACCAGCCGCCTCTGAAATCTGTATTTCTAATACCAATCCTTTTTTTTTCATGTATTTTTTTCTTTTTTAACTGTTGTAATATTTTATGTCCTGGTTGCCTTCTACTCTTGGCCTTAATTATAATCCATTTTCCACACTGCAGCCAGAACAATCTTTCTAGAGTTGCACTGTCCAGTAGGGTAGCCATTAACCATATGTGCTTATTTAAATTTAAAATAGAGTTAAAAATTAAAAGGCAGCCCTCAGTCATACTTGGCACATTTCAGATACTCAAAAGCCACTTGTGGCTAGTGGCAACCAAGTTGAGCAGGACATGTATAGAACATTTCCAGAAGTTCTATTAGTGTTGTTCTAGAGCATAAATCAAATAATCTCTCACGATTGCAACCAGAACTCTTTACTGAGGCCAGCAAAACCCTGTAAAATAATTCTTATCTCTGCCTTCTCATCTCTTTGTACATAATCCTTCATTCATAAGATAGGCACATTGGCCTTCTTTCTGTTCTTTGATTATGCCAGAATTCTTTTCCCTTTCTCAGGGCCTTTGCATTTGTCCTGTTGGGAACTTGTTTCCCCCAGATCTTCACATGATTGCAGCTCAACTGAAATGTTACCACCTGAAGAGAATTCTTCCTTGTCTACCCTAAGCACCTCTTTTATGAAGCTCATAATCGCATTACCCTATTTTATCACCTTCATAGTGTTTATCTTTCAGTGAAAGTCTTGTTTGTTGGTGTGCTTGTCTGTCTACCCTAACACACTTCTCCCAACTAGAATGAAGCTTCTGTGGTCATGCATTCTTTCTCTCGTTTACCACTACCTCCCTTGCCCCTAGAAAAATGACTGGTACATAATATGCTCAGTCAGTACTTGCCTGTGAGAGTCTCAAAACGTTATCATTGGAACTACCATATTTTTTTTTACTGTAATGTTTTACTAGATTTCACTTATATTTTCCTATGTATAGTTTCCACTGTGACAGGTCATGGAGATCAGCAGTTTGACAAAGTGACATTGTCTCCCTATTCTGTATGAGTACATTTACTGTACCACAAAAAGTTGTATACCAAGACATATATATTTTTCTACTTCTGCTTAAAAATATAAATCCACTTGGCTCACCATTCAAAAGTAGCCTGATGAATTATTACATTTAATCTGCCTTAAGTTGGAATTTGGTATTATAAAAGATACTCCATTCAGAATTTTTTTTTTTTTAAGATTTTTATTGGGGAATTGGGGGGATGGTAACAGTGCTGGGGAATTGGGGGGAGGGGAACAGACAAGTTGCTGTCGTTTTTGTTCTTCAGTCTAGTTGTGGAGGATGTTGCTTCACTGGCCCAAGTTGACACCATCATTGCGCTCTTCCCGGGTGAGGCAGATCAGTCGCCGGCTTCTGGACGGCCGCTCACTGCGGCTGCTGGCCACTTACGCTGGCTGCTGGCTACACACGGTAGCCCATGGCAACCCACTGCCACAGGGGCTGCAGCGTACGCCGTCGCCGTCAACTCACAGCAGCCCAGCTCCAGGTTGAGCTGTTGGTCAGCATCTTAGCTGTAGAGGTTGAGCGTCACTGGCCCTCAATGTGGGATCCGAACCGGGGCCCTCTGGCATCCCAAGCCAGCTCTTAACCAACGTGCCACTCGGCAGGCCCTCCATTCAGAATTTTTGATTAACCTTGGTCTATTATTTTGCTTGAGGGTTTTAGTCTTTGCTAAAAGCAGATAACTAGATGGTAAGTGTTGGGAGGATGCACACTGCCATTGTGTAGTATCTGCCCCCTTATTGAATAGTCCTGGTTCATTTGACTGTACAAATGATTGCTAGAGATTAGAAGATTCTTAGAGTATTTGTCATCCTGGATGATTGATTTGTTAATATTTTGGTGTAGATAGGAAAAGTAAATTGTGTAAGTACCTATTTTTGTTTTGTTTTGTTTTGTTTTTTAGCTGAGCCATCCTGCTACCTGTTGGCAGCTCAGCGGCAGCTCAGCTTGGGCTGGGCATCGAACTGCTGTCGCTCAGAGCTCAAATTCTTGAGCGAGCTCTTAACCAACTGAGCCACTCGGCCGGCCCAGTACCTGTTTTTTTTTTTAATAGTTCTGAAGAATGCTTCCTAACCTCTCCATACTTGGCTTTTTAAAAATGAGTTTTATACTTTATTCCCTCTTAGGGATGAGCATTTTCAGAAAATTGTATTGGCATGATACATGGACATAATGTCCTAGCCAACATTACAATAAAAACATAAATACATGGCCAGTGCTCACACCATTCTCCTGTCTTGTATGTCTTCTGTTGCTATCTACACCTCAGTCTGGACCTAAAGCATTTCACTACTCTTGCATATCACTAGTCAGCATAGTTTTACAGTTACTTTGTGTAAAGAACTCTGTATTTTTCCACCAGAGAGGACAAAGGTTATAAAGGAAACAGCTTGCAATACCACTGTTTTCAGTGAACTTACCTTACCAGAAAGATAAGCAAAAATGAACATTTATGAAGCAACATAAAATGTGTGGTAAACTGAGCAAGTGTTGCAGAAATATACTGGAAAAAAGAATGAAAAGTGATAGTAGGTAATAGTATTTCATGTTGATTTTTATTTTCTTTGTTTTCCAAACTTTTTATAATGAGATTCTGTTACTTTTGGATTTGGAGCACAAAGAGTTAATGTTAGATGTAGCTAGATATAGCACGTGCTGAGCACACTAAGTATACAGAATATTAAGAGAAGATAAGGAATCAAAGTTGGATGAGATTAATCATGTGTAGTTTTCTGGGAAGAGCATTTATTTCCTTTATGTGCATTAGTCGATCCTAGTTTGAGCCAGACAGATAATTTCTAATCCTGCCTCGTTCCTTGCATCTATTGGGTAGTCGGAAAAGTCATGACACATGTTTTCGACAGATGGCAATAGTTCATTTTTGGAAGTACTAGAGTCATTCGCATCTATGTTATTGCTATGTCATTTGACAGCTGACAGTTCTAGCTTCATTCTAAAAAAAAATTGAGCGATTTGGTTGAGTTTTGGAGATTTTACAAGTTGAAGATGGAAGACCAAACTCTGCATTTTTGCATTTTTGCCACATTTTACTGTTTTACTTCCATAAAGGGAAGAACGTGCATCAAGCTTGTGAAAAGTTGCTTAAAGTTTACAGTGACAATGCTCTACAAGAAAGTCAGTGCCAACGATGGTTCACGAAATTCTGTGCTGGTGATTTGATCTCAACGACGCTCTTCGGTCAGGGAGGCCCACCGAGGTTGATGACGACAAAATAAAGGCATTGATCCAGTCAAACCCATGTTACATGACATGAGAGATTGCAGAAACATTGAACATCCATTATTCAAGCATTCGCAACCACCTGAAGAAGCTGGGATATGTAAGCAAGCTCGATATTTGGGTTCCACATGAACTCAAAGAATTTCATTTGACGGCGTGTATAAACATCTGCAATATACTCATTAAACTTGAGGAAAACGATCCTTTTTTGAAGCGACTGATAATTGGTTATGAGTAGTGGATTGTTTACAACAATGTGGTACACAAACAGTCTTGGTCCCGACGTGATGATTCGCCTCAAACGACATCGGAAGTAGACATTCACCAGAGGAAGGTTATGCTGTCAGTGTGGTGGGATTTTAAAGGTGTCGTGTTTTTCGAGCTCCTACCAAGGAACCAAACAATCAATTCGAATGTGTAATGTCAGTAATTGGACAGTTTGAAGGAATCCATCATCCAGAAACGTCCAGAGCTTGTTAATTGTAAAGGAGTTATGTTCCATCGCGACAACGCGAGACCACACAAAAGTCTGATCACCCATCAAAAATTATTGGAGCTTAGGGGGGAGGGGGATTGCCACTTTGTGAGGGGTGTAAAGGATAACTATTGCATTGTTTTGCACACCTGAAACTACTACTACTAATAAAAAACAACTCATAGACACAGACAACAGTTGAGTGATTACCAGAGGGTAAGGGAGGAGAAGGTGCTAGATGAGGATAAGGGAGGTGGGGGACATCAAATACTTGTATATGGTGATGGAAGGAGAACTGACTCTGGGTGGTGAATACACAATGTGATACATAGATGATGTATTATAGAATTGTACACTTGAAACCCATATAATTTTCCTAACCAATGTCACACCAGTGAATTTAACAAAAATTTTAAAAAATAAAATGAAAAGTAAAGAAATGAGAAAAAAAAATTATCAGAGCTTGGATGGGATGTGTTGCCACACCCGCCATACTCTCCTGACCTTGCGCTGTAAGACTTCCACTTGTTTCGCTCTCTTCAAAATTCCTTGCATAGTATAGCGTTCAATTCAGATGAGACTGCAAATCAGCACCTTGTTCAGTTTTTCGCAAATAAAGACAGGTCCTTCTATGAATGAGGAATTATGAAGCTCACTGAAAGATGGCAAAAAGTTATCGAACAAAACGGGCATTATATTATTGATTGATCTTTGTTCTTTATATAAATAAATGACCTTTGAAAAACATAGACAAAATACGTCATGACTTTTCCGACAACCCAATAGTTACCTTAACTCATTGGGGTACCACATAGTGATCTGTAAGAGGTTATCAGGTCAACCATGCTGGAAATATCAAAAATAAAGGAATGTTATTTGTGCTTTTGCAGGTTGCTTCATGTGCGAAATGGAAACTGCAAATACCATTTGGGTGAAGAAACATTTAAGTTAGCTCAGACATACATGGATAAACTCTCCAAACATGGCCAGCAAGCCAACAAAGCTGCCCTCTATGGAGAACTGTGTGCACTCCTATTTGCAAAAAGTCACTATGATGAGGTAAGTGTTTTGAAGTGCATTTCATTTTGACCAGTAAGTATCTGTAAAACACATATACTCTCATGTTTGTCTAACAGCTCACATTTTCACACTTTAAGTACTTAACAGCAGTACATATTTGTAATGGAATATTTAGAATCAGGCAAAAGAAGTATTCCATGAGATGGATTGTAAACATATGCATGTACGATTTAGGGCTTGTTTTGTTTTTGTTTTTAACTTGACCAAATGTATCTCTGCTTAAATTATTTTGATGGGCACGTTTTGTTAAATAAAGCTTTAATAGATGTTTTTTATTGAATATGCAACTCTGGGTGGACTCGCATAACTTGAAGGTATTCATTGCATTAGGAAGCTAGATTTTATTTTATTGCATTGTTTTGCCCCTTCCTTTGCCTTATGAGAAAAATATATACTGGCTTTATACTATTAATGTTTTGTTGGTAATGAATACTTAATTGAGAAGTGTTCTATGTATGCTTAACTATTTTACTTGGTTGCTTTATTTATGGAAAATTATAATTATTTCATGCTGTCAGCTTTTAATTATTTCATGCTGTCAGGTAGCAGTCATTTAGCTTTCATATTTTAATACTAACCCTATCCTGATTTTTTACTATATATATATTACATATTTAAAGGAAAATTACAATTAGAAATGAAACTAGAATATTCTAGAGTAATTATAAAGTGATGTTATGCAACTCCAGTGTTCATCCTTCTTTTATTTATTTATTTATTTATTTATTT